ATACGGGCTAAAATAGTATTGTTGGTTGTCTATATAATTTTGAGTTAATAACGATAAGCAAAGATAAGAAACTTGTAATTGCATGTAATATTATTATCCCAAGACCTAAGACAAAATAAGAATCAAATCAACACACAAAAATTTATTAGAAGTACGCTTGGAGTAAGAATGTAACACGACGAACAAAGAAACAAGTATATAAGACAATAGTAAGACCTACAGTCCTGTACGCTAGTGAAACATGGACGCTAATGAACGAAAATGAACAGAAGTTGGAAGTATGGGAACGCAAAATACTACGAAAGATATATGGAGGTATAAAAAACTAGACCAATGGAGAAGGAGAACAAACCGAGAGATCGAGGAAATATACGGAGAACCAACAATCACGAAGATAATCAGAGCACGGAGACTAAGATGGCTAGGCCACGTCGGAAGAGCACCAGAGGAAAGGACAATTGGGAAAGTATTAGACCGCCTAAAAGGAGGAAAGAAAAAGAGAGGAAGGCCAAAACTGAAGTGGATAGACGATGTTCGAAAAGATCTTCAAAACTTAGGCATTGAAGATTGGAGATCCAAAGCAGCCGACAGGAACAAATGGAAAATTATTGTTAAAAAAGCCCAGGGCCTTTAAGGCCTGCAGAGCTGAATTATATATATACGCTTGGAGATAATTGTGTTTTCAAATAACACACATAGTGCTGACAATAATTTAAAACTAGTATTTGGTCATAGCTCCGTTTTAGGCAATCACTTGACCTAGTCTATATAGCATTGAGTGTATTAAATTTCGAATATCATATTCACTGATTTCCCCCAACAAGTTTGAATTCGTTAAGATAATTATCAACAGTTTGTGGTCTAAATATGTTGTAGCTATCTGGCGGAATCAAAACAATTTGCTCTTAAATGATTTAAACGGGCAGTATCTTCTTGTAGCTCTGCCTGAACTAACTTTTCGTTATAATGATTGGTCCTGTTCCCAGCATTTATTAATTCTTAAAACTACACTTTTGTTTAAATTTTAATTACCGTAGCAACTCAAATTAACCAACCATCTTCCAATGTGAACATTTTTGAGGAGAATCAAATGCTGAGGCATACTTGCAAACTGTAACTGATTATGATGATATCATCGACTAATTCATATTAGAAGGGTTTGTCATTAAATTGTCATTGACAAGAACATTTACAATGCTCTAAATATGTTGTACGCTTTTTCATTGATTAGAACTCTACTTTCAAGAAAAGAAATAAAAATAATAAAAATAAAAGAATTTATCCAAACAAGTTTACGTTGCTCGTCTTCTCCTTCTCTTGCCTCGTCTCGTCTTTTTCTTCTGGTCTGCATTTATTCCTGTGTCTCGTGCTTGCTCACTGCTTTCCCGTGTTTCGTTTCGTTGTTGGCAAAACTTAAAAACCATATAACTATAGTCATGGGTTGCTAATTCTCAGACTTTTATCCCCACTTTTACCTAAAGATTTAACTGTTGATTTAAGACTATAAAATAGCTTATGATACTGGTTTATAATGCGGGATTCGTGAAATTATTTACTTGTGACATAAGTCTATTTTTATAAAATGGTTGTCCCTATTCTTTTGTAGAAATTGCTCTTTTTTTAATTGTTTTTGAAAGAAATATAACTCAGCCGAGCCTCCCTTCTCAATACATCGACGTTACGCCACTGCTAGCCCGACTACGAGCCGCATAACTTATACCCCGCCCCTGTCACCTTTCGTGGTGAAATTACTTCTACAAACTTACAATAAAAAAATTAAAATCCCTATTCAGATCAATATAGTGACATTCGTGGAAGTGTCTAAAAAGCCTCGACCGGTATTTCATTATTCGTATTCGGGTGGGTGTCTTCTTTTCTTAAAATCCTTTCTGTTCATTATGGCCGTACGCCAATTCTACCTGTTCATTGACACACTGTCTCATTCTCTTCATCTCTTTCTCCATTTACAACGCCTCCATCAATCAAGTAATTTAAGCACAAAATTAAATAGTCTTATCAAAAAGGTGTTTAGGACATATTGAGAGAGTGTAGTAGACAGGGTAGAGATTAGGGATAAGAGGTAATTTTTCAACAGTTAATTTGTAATGCTCAAAAATTCTTAGCTCAGAATAATATAAAGCGAGTTCTTTTATATTGTAGGCCGCCCATCCGGGTTTGGCTGATGAAGGATTAGCAACCCGAAACCGATACCAATAAAATAAATAAGCAATAGTGGACAGAAATTGTTTCTTTTATTTAAAATGAAATTAAAATTTAACTCGAAAAAATAAGATTCGGCTGTATGGGTATAAAAAAAAAGGTCGAAGGTTACTTTGACAGAACTTTCCTCACCCCTGAAATATAATAAAACAACTCCAGGTCTTTTGAAAAATTATAAAATTTGATTATGCGAATTTTATTTTTTTATGAGAACTCATAAGTTAAAATAAAGATATGTATGTAACGTTAAATTAAATGTGAAGAAGCGTGCTGGGCGTACGTTTCAAATGAGTTTTCCCTTAACAAAATTTTGTGATGAGATCATTAACATTTTTGCAAAAACCCGTAAATCCACTTTGGATAGGTGCAGTGTAACAGTATTGTATTCCCAAATTTTCGGGAAAACAAAGTGAGCCGAGTCCAATTTAATCAATAAAATAAATTGACCCTTTCATTAATTTTTATAAGTCACCTGTATAAGAAATTTAAAAACTTAATGCACTGATAAATCACAGGCATATACCCATCACATTTTGCACATTTCGGATAGGATCCATTCAGCAAAATTTTGGGAGGGGATAAACGAATAAATTTTGCTTGACGATTTAGCATGATTACGATAACCCTAAAATATTTACAAAATTGAAGAGTTCGGTTTTGCAGTTTCAAAGTTATATTACAAAATATTGTTATCCAGTTTTCCAAAAATTCTGAATGTCTAAGGTGAGAATTCGACATGGATTCACACAGCATAAGTGCAGGAGTATCTTATTTTATAAATTAAAAAAAATATATAAATTTAGGAGATGACGTCATCCCATTGGTGGAGGGGACGATCAGCCAAATTTTTCTTAGTACTTCAACCATCTACATGATATTCCTAATACACATACAAAATTTGATAACAATCGGTTTAGTAGTTTCGGAGATTACGTAAAATATATATATCAAAAATAAAATTCGCATAATCGAATTTTTTAATTTTTCGAAAGAGCTGGACTTGTTTTATTATATTTCAGGGGTGAGGGAAGTTCTGTTGAAGTAACCTTACCAATTTTTTCAAAACATATTTACACAGTCATATTTACCATATTTAAAATTGTACCATTGAAGTTTCGTTAAGGAAAACCGTTGTTCACAATTAAAAATCTCAAAAGTATCATTACAAGCTACCAGACGACGAGGCACTACCTAGTGTACAGCAGCAGAAGTACTGCACATGTTATATGGATTGAAAGTGGTGGCGCCAGTTGTCGATAATAGTTGATATTCCCAAAAGTCGCAATCGGAATTATGGAAATTTGGGGAACTCCCCGAAATTCCAATTTGATTCCCAAAAGTAACGTTACGCGGTGTTTAGGTTCCCAATATTACCATTCGGCATACATATATATATATATATAAGTATAACACTCCAATTTTGTTTACGACCGTGCCTCCGGTCCAGCCAGACCTTCGTGTCTGGGAAAAGGGGATGAAAGTACCAAAAGAACCACCAAAGGCATTCAGTAGCATTTCAAACTCCTAATCGATCAGTTCGATAAAACACCCCTGCGTGTCCTTTCGTGTCGTAATTATTTTCGTTATACTTGTTATCGCTTTGTGTACTAGTGCCTACACGGTACTCATTTCGTCGCTAGTCATCCCCTTCATCGTCATATCGCTGACACACGCATCACCAGGTAGTCGTAACTTATTGGAGGCAATTATTTTTCGTATTTAATACATTTTCGCGAACAGAGGTGATATATGTAACATGAAGAAATAAAGAAAATTATCTCATCGAAATGCTTGTGAATCTGAAAGTAACAGAAGAATGTGTGAAATTAACCAAATAAATCCCATCATGTGATAATCATGTATCTATTAATAAAAAATGTTTCTGTTCATTAAATAATGCTAAAGATATTTAGGACTGGCTGTAACCGCAAAAAAATGGCGAATTGCATTTTTCAAACTAAAATGCAGTTTAGCAAATCCGATGATTCGAACTTTTCGTGATGAACTAGACAAAACGCAGACGTAAAAAACTGTCAGGTGTGGGATTCGAACCCACGCTCCCTTTCGAGAATCAGGGGCCCTATTCTTGAACTCATGCGACTTCAAGTCGTATACGGAAATCGTCGCATGGTGATTTCGTATGCGAAAGATGAAAGTCGCACGCTCTGTATTCTTGAGCGCTAGACGAATACAATTTCGCATGCGATGTATTTGCGTACAGTCGTAGATAAGTTCATACGGCCTAGATGATGCTTTGCTGTCAGAAACCACTATCGACCAATGGAAGATGAGAGGGAAAATTTAACGTTTTAAGTACAACAAAGATTAATTGGAAGTCCCGCAAGTTAATAATATGGAATTTATCGGTTTTACTGTGAATATTATGTTAACTATCAAGTGATATCAATATAACTGGAAACAGCAAATAATATAATTTGTTTTTAATAACATAATTCTTTATGTTTTATTCTAAAACATGTGTCCGGTATAAAAATGTATTAAATCACTTACTAATTGAAGGGTTGAAATTTTCCTAAAGACGACTTTCTCTTTTCTCAAAAAGACAGTTGGGACGGAAGGGTGAATGTTATCAGTTTAGAAAGTTGGGACGATAAGGCTGAATGTTATCAGTTTCGAAAGTTGGGACGGAAATAGCGATTTAGGGATTAAGTTGTTTATTTCTAAGTTTGGTCATTTTGTTCACTTGTAAACTGTACTCCGTACGACGAGGAGCTATCTAGTTATATTCGAGAGTTTGTGAGTTTATTTAATAAAAAAACATGAGTGGAACGAAGAGTGCGCACATTTCAAGTGAACAAAAAACACGTTTAATTTCGTTCATGCAAGAAAATAAAGAATTACTCGAGGGGAAGTTCACAAAGAATTTTACGTTTAAAACAGCGCAAAACCTGTGGAACAGGGCTGCCGAAGAACTAAATTCCATTCCGGGGGCCCGAAAAGACTGGAAACAATGGAGAAAGGTAAGATGAATTATGAAAAATACAGCTTCGTAATTTTTTAACAAATGAAATTCTCCGAATATTTGAAAACTGTAATGGTATCGATTTTTTACAGACTTGGCAGGACTTGAAGGCTAAAACGAAGTCGAAAAAGGCTGACATGATTAAAGAATCGAAGAAAACCGGTGGTGGGCCACCTCCGGAAGATCTAGATTCAGGGGAAGAGAAAATAATACAAATAATTGGAAATACCGTTATAGAAGGTCAAGACGTCCCCGAATCCACGATTAGGTTTAATTGGGATGGAGATAGTTCTTCTCAACTGCCAGCAGAATTGTTAGAGCCGACAGAAGAACAAGTGGAAGAGAAAAAAAAAGAGAGAATTTTACCCGAAGAAAAACCCCAATTTTCTAGAAAGCGGAAAGCCCGTCCCGCAGAACGATTAGACAAGAGTCTAAAAGCATCAGAGCAGTTGGTCAAACTGACTACGGAAAAAAACAAAATGAAAGAAAAATATTATGAAAAAAAAATTCTTTTATTGGAGCGGCAAGTAAAGGCCAAAGAAGAAATCGCAGAATCGCTGAAAATAATCGCTAATAGGTTAAGGAGAAATAATGGTAGTCTATTATAAAATAATAAATATATTTCATTTATTTTCAAAAATAATTTCTTATTATTCGAGCTTGCATTGTGCGCCCTGCAGCAAGTTGCGGGTTGACTCGCTCGTTATGTGCAATTTGCTCATCATTGATATTCATACCAAAATCCACTTCTACCTCATCGTTGTCTTCTGGTTCTTCTACATTATTAGCAATGCACATATTGTGCAATACTACACAGGCCTTGATTATTTTTCCCGCTTTTTCGGGGTGGTAATGCAACACTCTGTGTTTAAGCAAACACCTAAACCTCATTTTCAAGACACCATTACACCTTTCGATTATAGATCGTGTCCTTTTCTGCGACTCGTTGTATCTACCTTCAGGGGTATTTGGGACGACATTTTGAATTGGCGTCATGAGCCATGGCCTAAGAGCATATCCTGAATCACCTGCGTAAAAAATATTTTTTGCCTGATTTATATGAAATGTTGCTTAATCTTTACCTAAAACATAATAAGTCGAATGACCTCGAGTATGCAAATTTTGTAGGAAGTCTAGCACGTTGCTATTGTTCCATATAAAACTATCATGGGTGCTTCCAGGATATCTTGCATTTACATTCAAAATGCGCAGGTTAGCGTCACATACCTATATATAAGACATACTGTTAATGTTACTTTATTTTTTATCATACTGACCAATTGAACATTTATGGAGTGATAATTTTTCTGTTCACATAAATATGTTCTGGATACACTGCGTCATTTGATTTTGGAGGTACAATTGCAACATGTGTGCAATCTACACAACCAATGACCCCCGGAAACTGGTATCGCTGATAAAACCTGTTAGATATTATATTGATATTCACATAATTAAGATAAAAATATAAAAAAATGTGCGATGCTTATGAAGCACGAGTGGAGGCAGAAAAACGTCGGGGTAAAGAGGCACGATATTTACCCCGCGAAAAAAACAACCTATTGGCTTCCACACAGTTTCAACTTTCTCCATCTGGACGCGGTACATCGGTAGCTGTGGGTTTAAAAATGCCCACAGGCGATGTGGTATGCCGAATACATAACCAAGCCGAGACGGCCTTTTGCGAATTTGACCAGAGGGAATTTGTGGAATTTTCGAACAAAATGATGAAGATGGTGCCTCAAATTCGGAATCCAGTATCTGGCCGACATGTTTTATGTGCGCTGAAAAAATACAACGTGATACTGTGCCGAAACAAGATAGTGATGTTCCAACCGGTTTTTCAGACAAGGGAGCATCCCCTCTTTGTTTCGGCAGAGTCTATAATGAAGATTATTGATCAGAGATTATTTGTTATTAATTTATTGCACGAACACAGTGTACGTAAAACATGTTGGCCCGATTACGACGATTTTGTATTAGAGGTTGCCAAATTCATCATCAACAATGCTGTCGAATTTACGGACAAGGTGTTGATAAACATAATTCGCCAAGTACAATTGCCATACACTTCTCTTCGAAATGAGATGTAAATTTTTTGATACTATCCGTAAGCATGTGTACGACGTAATAGACCGGTTGAAGAAATAAATATATTTTTACAAAAAAGAGATTTTTTTAGTTAGTTATAGGTTTCATTGATACATATACATATATATATTACAATGATGTGAACGAGTGTTTTTTATTTTATAGGTACATCGGCTAATGTTACAAACGACTCTGTATTGAATGGTTGTCAGGCGAATCAGACAGGTTTGGGAGAGGTTCGCGGCGACAGTAACGATGCTATTCCATCAACGTCTAGAGGTACTAATGGTAAGTTTTTAAATGTTTGTACATTAGTTGTAAACATACGCTATAAGAGTAACATTAATATACATAACTTTCAAGGAAACTGCGACGTCGGTGGTTTGCCAAATATTGAGGCAAACAAATACATACATTGTGGCGAGGAGTTTGTGCGACATATTGAGAAATTTGGATTTACAAAACGATGTCTAAATTTTAGATTTAACGATCAGCTGGAAGATTACGAACAAAATCCGGCCAACTGGTTAAAGGTAATACGACTGATCTACATGTCCGACAATGCTAATTTTCTTATTTTTTCTTTAGAATGCTATTGAAGAGTTGTTGCGTCATACATGCCGTAGCTTTGTACACAGTGACTTAATCGGTATCACGATGAGGAACGCGAACTTTCCAGACAAACCTATGGGGATTTCTTTTAGAAAATATTCACAAATTAACGCCCAAGTTATAATGGCTGTGATATCGTCCGTTTTTCGCTAGCGACGATTTACAAATTCAAGTGGACTGTGTTAGACCACCAGCCGCCTATGGTTCCAGAGTTGACGGAAAATGCGTGACCTTTGACCAGTTTAGTGCACAGAAAAACAGCATATTCGTGATCAACAACAAAGACAAACGGTGTTTGGGAGCTGCTCTGGTCGTGGCAATGGCGTACTGCAACAGAGGCTTCAAGCGCGTGTCATTGAAGAAATTCAAAGGCCGGAGGGGTGAGCAATTAATGAATGAAATGGTCACAGATTTGTGTCGAAGAGCTGAGGTTGACTTATCAGACGGCGCTCATTATGGTCACATTACAGATTTTCAAGCGTATCTAAATGATTACACTATTGTTGTTTATAACTCGCGGGACGGTAGCTCCGTATATTTTGAAGGCCCCAGGGCTCCGGGTAGAAACTGTTTAAATTTGATTATGGAAAATCATCATTTTAATGTCATTTTAAGCCTGACTGGCGTTTTTGCAACATCGTACTACTGCGAACTATGTCATGCAAAATACTCTAAACCTAACAGACATAAAAAATGCCCCTACATCTGCCCCAGCTGCCACAATAATCCACCCTGTGATAAACACGATACGACTAAAGAATGCCATGTTTGTCTACGCGTGTTTAGAAGTAATAATTGCTTCGTAAACCACGTAGAAAATGGTACATGCAAGAAATTTCAAAAATGTCCCGTGTGCCATAAACATGTTTGGGTTGAAAAATCGAAACACGTGTGTGGCGTTAGCTACTGCACAACATGTGGCAAAAATCAACCAAGTCGTCATTTGTGTTACATGAAGCCGAAATGTCTTTCGGACGATAGTTCCGTTGAGAAAGCATCATCATTTTTATTTGTTTTCTACGATCTGGAGACCACTCAGGAAACAGAAATTGATAAAAACACATATCTCCATCAACCCAACCTTTGCATTATGCAGCAGGTAAGCCCTTTATGCATCAATGATAATGACAATTTTGACCAAAATTGTGATTATTGCGGTGTGCGTCAGCACATTTTTACGGAGAAACCCGTAGATGAATTTTTAGATCGCTTAGTTTCACTGTCGGACAAATTTAAAATTACTGCTGTAGCGCATAATATGCGAGGCTTTGATGGAGCTTTTGTTTTAAGAAATATTTTTGAAAACGTAAGCAGGTGGAAACCACAGATAATTCGTACGGGGACAAAATTAATTTCAATTACTTGCGGCTCATCTATTAGGTTTATAGACAGCCTTAATTTTGTGCAATTACCTCTCGCCCAGTTTTCAAAAGCATTTAAACTTCAGGAAACCAAAGGTTATTTTCCTCATTTTTTTAACGAAAGAGCAAACGCTGGGTATGATGATCCTATTCCTGATCAAAGTTATTACGGCTGTGAAAGTATGTCCCCAAAAGACCGGGGAGAATTTCTTAAATGGCACGATGAACTTGTTCGGAACAATTACCGATTTAAAATGTTTGACGAAATACTTCGATACTGCCTACAAGATGTTAACATTTTAAGAAAGGGTTGTCTTAAATTTAGAGAATGCTTTTTGAAAACAAATAATGTCGACCCTTTTTTAGAATGTTTAACTATTGCGTCGGCGTGTAATTTGGGGTTTCGGAAAAATTTTTTTAAACTATTGGTATAATTCCTAATAATGGTTATCGGCTCACCGATGTGGATCGTCAGTTTGTCGGTACATTCGTCGCCGATGAACTGCGCAAGGCTGTAGAGTGTAATTATAAGGTGGTAGAGATTTTTGAGGTATGGGAGTACCAGACTATTCAATACAACAAAGATACAGGCACCGTCGGCTTATTCACTGAGTACGTCAACAATTTTTTAAAACTGAAGCAAGAATGTAGTGGTTGGCCGCAGTGGTGTAAGTCGGATGATGATAAAAGACGGTATATTGCGCAGTACAAAGAACGGGAAAATATAGAGCTCGACGAGTCTAACATCTCGCAAAATGGCGGGTTGCGACTTTTGGCCAAATTTATGCTAAACTCTTTTTGGGGTAAATTTGGTCAAAAGGAGAATGCCCACAAGACGGACATAATAGATGAGCCATTGAATTTGTTTAAATTAATTACAAATCACAGTGTCGACGTTCACAGTTTGACGGTGATTAACACGTTGACTGCCGTAATAGTCACACAAATTTCGATCCTGCTGGCCGAAAGTTTTCTATGTTAAAATACGCCAGCAATATATCCCTTGACTTGAAATAAAAGTATATTTTCATAAAAAAAAAACAATTTTTCTTTTGTTTTGAGGTGAGAAGCATTATATGATTCACGCGGCCCATATAGTTCATATTTGCACTAATGGCCATGTGAATCATAAGCCGATGCACATGAAAACTTGTTTATTCTTGCAGAAATGCAACGCTCTGCAGTAATCTTGTTCATTCTTGTGCGTCCAACGGTAGTGTTGGTTTATTCGGTTTGCGTCCCCTGCATAGTTTTTACTATATCTCAATTGTTGGTGTTGTACAAAATGAATTACGAAAAAGAACAAGAGGAACTGAATCGCCTTTGGCAGGAATGTCTCTCAGACGAAGACGATAATGAACCGTTTGAAGATTCAGGTGATGAATTTGTCCCAGAAAGCTCTGATGATTCTTCTAATGATGAACCAATTTCCAAAAAATTAAAGTTTGTAAAGGAGCCAATTCCTTCTACATCCAGGGATACACCCGACAGTGTTTTGGACACAATAAACGATGTGATTGAAAGATGTATGGAAGAAGGTAGTGACGAAGATAATGCAAATGAACACTGTGACAATACTAACGAACTAACGTGGGAGGATGTGAGCGGACGAAATTTGAAATTGTTTCCTTTCACAGAAATAAATGTTGGAGTCAAAGAAGAAATACATGCTGAATATTACGACAAAGGTCCCTACGAGTTTTTCAAGCTGTTTCTAACTGACGAACTGATAAGCATGATGGTGATAGAGGCCAACAGGTATGCGACTCAGTGCAAAGCCTCTGCAACATTGCCCAAAGCCCGCATTCGTGAATGGCATGATACAAATTGTGAGGAAATGGAAAGTTTTATTGGAACTCTCGTTTGGATGGGTTTGTGTCCATTTTCTTCAATCGAGGCGTATTGGTCCAAATGTGTCGTTTACACCAACAAAATAAAAGACATCATGTCTCGAAATCGTTTCCAGCTGCTTCTCAAGTCGTGGCATTTCCACAACAACGAAATACTGACAGAAGATAGATTGCAGAAAATCACTCCTCTGACAAATCTGCTGATCAAAAATTTTCAAAACGTTGTTATTCCGAAAGAGCATGTATGTATAGACGAAACTTTAGTGCCATTTCGGGGGCGTTTGAGTTTTCGCCAATATATAAGCAACAAAAGACATAAATTTGGCATCAAGCTTTATAAACTGTGTCTTGAAAAAGGATACACATATAATTTGCAAGTATATTGTGGAAAGGATAAAGTACCCAATCAGTCTTCTTCAGAAAAAGTCGTTCTTTCTTTGTCTGACAATCTGTTAGATAAGGGGCGTACAATTTACACCGATAATTATTACACCAGCATTTCCTTAGCGCATCAGTTGTTGAAGAGAAACACACATTTAGTTGGAACGCTGAGAACCAATAGGAAATTTAATCCCAAACATATAACGGAAAAGAAATTACAAAAAGGTGACACAATTGCCGCCGAAAGTAACACAGGTATAGTGATTCAAAAATGGAAAGACAAGCGAGATGTTTGTACTTTGAGCACAAAACATACCGCTGAAATGAAAACAGTCAGCCACTTCGGTAAAGACAGTCAAAAACCAATAGTTGTAACTGTTTACAACAAGCACAAATCTTACATAGACTTGTCAGATCAAATGAAGTCTTACACCACTTCGCTACGAAGGGGTGTAAAATGGTATCGCAAACTTGCTGTTGAACTGATTGTGGGTGCTGCGGTGGTAAATGCTCACATTCTACATCAAGAGGTAGCTAATGAAAAAATGTCGATCACGAAATTCAAAGAAGAACTTGCTCTGAAACTAACTAAAATAGACATTCGTCATGACACAACGCACCATCAACAAGCCGAGCATGTGTTAGAAGATGTAGGAACCAAGAGTCGCCGTAGGTGTGTTGTGTGTTATGAAAAACTTTCAAAAACTGACAGAAAACTTGCCCAGTCAAAAACTCCTCAATCGAGATATCGCTGTATAACATGTAGTAAAAATTACTGTTTGAATTGTTTCTTTGAAGTTCATAAATGTACAAAATAACTGTTTATATTTTGTTGATTTATATGTTTACATATTTTGAGATACACATATTTTCCTATCGTTCACAAAAAATGTTATGTTTCAATACAAATAATATTTTATTTTACATTATGTTTTTGTTTATATTTTATTGAATGCTGTGTTTGAATAAATATATATTATATTCCATCGATAGCTTCATTGTCTTTTCGAAAATTGTCAACAAGAAATTTGAGGCTCTGAGAATCAACCTATGATTCACACAGGCGCAGGCCAATTATGGTTTCTATTAGTTACAGCCGTACATTTTAGGCTCCATAAGTATTACATTGATGTGAGAAGCGTTAGTTGCTTTAGCCGGCCACTACAACGTGTAGTGTCTGAGAATCATTTCTTGATACTCGCGGCTGTTATGGCCAAATCTCTATGCATCACAAAGCTACGGTCAGACACAGTTACTTTTGCAGCGCAGCCAATTAATATACTGCACAAAATCATACTGCACAAGTGTGCACTCCTCTGCAGCTGCAGCAAAAGCGTATGCAGTATGGTAGCTCGCAACTTTTTACGATGCGCGCAGCACTAGAAGTTGCTGTGTGTGAACGACTATTTTTTAATGCTGCACGTGCAACAAAAAATATATGTTTGGGTGAAACTTTACTGCGACTGCAGGCGCAGTTTTACGACTTGAGCGAAGGAAGGCACATAGTGTAAAATTATAAGGTAAGAAATATATACAGTAATCTACGGAATTTCGTTAATTATAATTCACTTGAAATGTGTACCTATATAAAATACATATGTAGATATTTGATTGTTGAAGAAAATGGCGCAACCATTAAAATGGCAACGAGAAGACGTAAAAAAACTGATAGAATTGGTAGAAGAAAGACAGTCCCTGTGGAATGTCAATCACAAGGATTACCATAATCAGATCAAACGAAGAAACGCCATCGAGGAAATTGCTGCAGCACTCAAGATTGGGAATGAGGAAGTAAAAAAAAAATCCATACTCTGAGAGCGCAGTACTCCAAAGAACGCGCAAAAATGACCAAGACACACTCTGGAATGTCTGAAGGGCAGCTATACAAAACGAAGTGGGAATTTTTTGATTCATTGCAATTTATGTTTCGGCACACGGGCAAGACAAAAACAATAGATTCTATAGTGAGTATATAATTATTAAGTATGTATGCTGTCGTTACATGTGTAGGTAATAGTTTTAAATATAATACCGTTGCCAGGGAACTTCTCCCTCTCGACAGAAATATTCTTTAAACTCGTCTCGAATCATTTTTGCCGCCATAGTAGCATTTCTAGGCACTGTAGTTCTTTGCAGAGGCTCCAGAACAACTGCTTCGGTATTACGCCATGTGCCTAACGTGATTGTACCGTCCTCGTTGTCTGTATCAAAAGTACCTAATGGTGCATATACTGCTGAAGAACGTTTTCGAGACATCAAAAAATTATGTAATACACACACAGCACTGACAATTATTTTCACTTTGGGTGGAGATAGTTCCATAGTTCTTCGGAGAACTCGAAAACGGGCTGAAGCAATTCCAAAAACATTTTCAATTATTCTTCGGGCTCGAGAGAGACGATAGTTAAAAATACGTTCTGGTACACTTTGACTTTTGAAAGCAAATGGTTTCAGCATATACGGTTTTAATGCAAATGCATCATCTGCAACAACAACATAGGGGATAGGTTGTTTTCTCCCTGGCAATGGTGTTGATTCTGGGATGTTGAGTGTGTTGTTTTCCAGCGCTTGTGATAATGAACAATTCATGTAAACGCCGCCATCTGAATCGCGACCAGGAGCGCCAATGTTAATATACAAAAATTTGTAATTGGCATCGGCTAAACCCATGAGAATAATGCTATGCGCTTGTTTGTAGTTAAAATATAGACTTCCACTATTTGGTGGCGCTTTGATATTTATGTGCTTCCCATCTATAGCTCCCAAGCAATTGGGAAAATTCCATTTCTCAGCAAAGTGACGTGAAACTTGCTTCCATTCGTCTTCTGTATCCGGTATCTATAATTGGAAAAACAAAAAACGCGAATTAGTACTCTGCATTGTGCCTTTCTCTTATACAACAAAATATGTAAAGGAAAAATCATGTCGTTATTTTTGTAAAATTGGTTTGCAGGGTGCAGCAGCAGCTAATGAGGATAGTACTGATGATATAAGTGAGGTATATAGCAGTCATCCTTCATCTTCCAGTGACCAATTCTGCTTCGAACAAGCGCTACCACTCGAACAAGAGAGTAACGAAAAACAATCAGGTAGCCCATTGGCTGCTGAGCCGGCATTAATGTCACCCATGGGTTTGAAGACTCCAGGGCGCCCATTACCAAAGAAACGGCGCCCGAATCAACGCAGTATAGATATACAAGAAGAAACTGCCTTGAAAACGTCCATGACATTGTTGTCGGCATCTACTCGTACCGACGAATTTACGATTTTTGGAGAATATGTGGCAAATGAACTTAGACTGTTGACCACTTCGCCAGACATTCAGTTCAAGATGAAATATGACATCCAAAACTTAATTTTAAATGCCAGTATGGAACACGCCATAAGGCATAACAACAGGCAAGCGACTGTGGTGCCTTCAGCCCCGCCATCTACTACTTCGAGAAGCTCGTGGGACGAAGGATCACAACCTAATGAAAGCAAGGAAGATCAACAGTCGCAGGACTCCAACTTGGGTCATTTCTTACGAATGTCAACAACAATGTTCGCAGAATAAACACTGTTTTTAGTTTCATATACAGTATTTTTACTTACTTTTAAATATTCGTCTTTCAAAACATTATAAATTGCTTGGCAAACTTCCGGTATGATTGTTGAAATTGTATTAGCTGGTATGCGGAATAAGTACATTAAAGATTTATAGCTATCACCTAAAAACGTATACATGTTTAGATAGGTATTGCAAAGAAGTCGCTTGAACACACTCACCAGTTGCTAAATATCGCAACGTCACGATTAACCGTTCAGTTGGTGTAATAGCTCGTCTCATTAACGTATCTTGTTTTGTTATGAGAGGCGATACTTTATTTAACAGATAGTCGAAATCTGTAACTGACATCCTTAAAAAGTTTCGATAGAAGGTTTCATCACCTAGTCTTAACTCTTGCAGCAAATTGGCAACGACTCCAGATTCTTCTCTTTTTTGGATCCACTCTCGTACCCAAATTTTTCTTTTAGTTCGTTGTTTTCTTCTTTTTCTCCTATAGAGCAAGATTACCGCAAGACATGCTGCAGCTTTGCACTTTTCGGCCACCATTCGTTCACTTTTTAGGAGACACGTTCACGACCACGACTTCTTAAAAATGATGTCGAACAGCACAGGAAGCAGTAAAATGCAGCGGCTGATGCCAAAACTGCACACACCGTGTGAATAGCTGTGCAACTTCTTTGTATACCCGCAACTTTTGTAGGCAGCCGCAGCACAGAAAACTGCACGCAACACGTTTTTGATCGTATATGTGTGAACACGACATGCACCTTTTGCAGCTGCAACCAAAAAGTTGCGCTGCAAAAGTAGCTGTGTCTGACCTTAGCTTTACGCTTCTCACGGCAGCCAACGTGTTAACAGTGACGTCTTGTTGGCAACTTGGGAACGTCGACAGAAAGATGTTATTCCTTTAAAAACTGTGAACGTCGCAATAGCTGCATACACCACAGCCGCTGCTAGGTTAGTTTTGTATAGCTACCTAGAAAAGCTCGACCGAAGAGTGCTCTATTATGACACGGATAGTATTATCTTCACAAAAAAAGAAGGGGAGTGGGTTCCACCTGTAGGCGATTTTCTGGGAGATCTCACGGACGAGTTAGCAGAGTACGGGGCTGGTAGTCACATTCGAGAGTTTGTAAGCGGAGGCCCCAAAAACTACGCGTACAAATTTTTTAAGACCCAAGACCAAACTTATGAAACGCGATGTAAGGTAAAGGGCATATCATTAAATTATAAAAATCAAAAATCCATCAATTTCGAAAACATTAAAAAGCTACTGTTTAGTAACTACCGGCCTCGTGATGGTGATGAAAATCAGAACATCATTACAATAAATGACCGTCGCATACTTAGGACGCAGCAGTACGACATTGTCACAAAAAATTGCGACAAGACGTATCGCATAAATTATACCAAGCGCCGGCGTCTTCCCGATTGTTATGACACGTTACCCTACGGGTACGTCGATAATGTCATCATATAGATACTTATTTTTATTTAATATGCATTTGTATATATCTGTATTTATTTATTTATGTATTTATTTATCTCATTTAAAACATGTTATCTGTGTACACAACTATTATGCATATGTCTCTTAAGAATATACATTTATAACTATATATACATATTTATTTATTTATTCGATCAGCCTTTCCTTTATACACTAATTCGACCAATGAGAAGCATGGCTGGAGTTTCGAAGGCGCTGGTAATTAGGGAGCTGCACTTTAGAACCGCTGGTAATTAGTACCGGGAAAAACCCAACGCTGGTGATTAAGACAGCCGGTAATTACCTCTGCTGGTGATTAAGTGGTGATTAAGACCACCGGTAATTACCGCTGGTAATTAGGACCAAAAACGCACTAATTACCCGCTCATACTACTACTCGCAATTTTAACAAGGATCCCCTGGAAACATTTTTTGGCGCAATTTGGCAAGTCATGGGGCTAGAAATATTAACCCGAGCCATCTGCATTTAAAGGCTCATTTAAGAGTGTGCTCATTAATAATTTTACATCAAAACATTCAGCAGGTAGGAAAATGTATAACCCCGGGTGTACCTCAAACTGAAAACCCAGCCACTGTGGGGTTGCAACCGCCTAAGAGGAAGCGAATCTGTGGGGTTGAGGTAAAAAGGCGGAGGAAGGCTCGCTTGGGATAAACCCCTAGGGCAAAAGGCAGGCTACAATAGCAAACCCAGAACATCCCGGGGGAGAGAGGACCTCAGGGTCAAAAAAGAGAGTGCGGTCTTCAACCTCCACACCTCCGGTAGCACAAAAGCAAAAGCGAATGAAGAGGCAGCACACCACCTCTAACGAACATAGCTACACGGAGGTAGCTGCAAGTCATCTCCGTGAAGCTGTGATTGATGTACAACATCCACTTTGCAAGCTGACTGCTAACCAGGTGGAGTTGGTACAAAATGGACTGATGGGAGCACTGGACAGACAACTTAACCATCGGGAAGGCAAACAGCCACTTTCAGGGGCATCAAGTACACAGGAGAAATCCTAAAGATAACCCGTAAAGACGAGGTGTCTCTGGAATGGCTAAAGCAAACAGTGCGCTCTCTAACACCCTTGTGGGAAGGCGCACAACTTGGCTGAGCTACCAAGACTGCAAGTCCCTCATTTTTTTAAGGGGATTAGAAATAACCTAATGAAATGTCAGTAGTAGTTATATAGCTGGAATTCTAGGCCCGGTCAAATGAGGTCAAACTGGCCTAGAACCCATATTACCTTTTATCATCCTTCTATCCCCACTTTTATTGTGTAGTTGTGTAAATGTCCACGTATTCGCCTGTAAGGATTCTTTAGAATTGTGAATTCAATTACTTTACTGTTTTAAAGTTGAAATGTCTTCTTTCATTTCTGCCTTGAGTAAAGAATCTCACTTGCAAGCTTTTGTAACTTTAAAAGAAAATAAAAAACATTTAATCAAAAATTTTAGTCTTTTTACAAAATACGCCTGCAGAACCATTCTACCACATCGACCTACGGAAAAATTCACCGATTTAAATATCGACGACCTGAGGAAAATCGTAAACGGTTTGAAGTTCTATTTCCTAAATAAAAGTCCGATCGCTCAAACCCTCAACCAATGACAATGAAAACACGTCAAGTACGATTACAATGTTTCGTCGAAAATTAGATTTATATTTAAAATCTATTAATTCATTAAAAAAAAGCTTGCCTTTCCTCCGAAATGCATACGGGTTGTAGGGGGAGGAAGACAAAATTCATCAGCAAACTGAGAGTGAGGATGAGTTTTATAGTACTCCATCGACAGCTTCGGAAGTTCTGGTGGTTTCCCATTCAAAATGTGCGGCGGAAAAAACTAAAAGCAAAAAAGCATCAACCGATACATGAAGAAAGTCTGTGAGTTTCAGAAATTACTGACTGAATCTAAAAAAGAACTTAAGAAATAGTAAAAAATCTGGGGTAGAGGTGGTGTAAAATAAAGAAATAAAGAAAATTATCTCATCGAAATGCTTGTGAATCTGGAAGTAAGAGAAGACTGTGAAATTAACCAAAGAAATCCTATCATGTGGTAATCATGTATCTATTAATAAAAAATGTTTCTGTTCATTAAATAATCCTAAAGATATTTAGGACTGGCTGTAACCGCAAAAAAAATGACGGCAAACTGAAATGCAGTTTAGCAAATCCGATGATTCGAACTTTTCGTGATGAACTAGACAAAACGCAGACGTAAAAAACTGTCAGGTGTGGGATTCGAACCCACGCTCCCTTTCGAGAATCAGATCTCGAAGCTGAAGTCGTAATAGGACGGGAAAAAACTGAGTTGTTAAGAATTTTATTTCGTAACCAACACTGTATTCATGTGGTCAACTTTCGTCTAATTCTCAACAACTCGTAATAAGTCCCCACTAATTAACCTATGCTGTTACCGATAAAATTAGTATTAGAGCACCTGCCCATCACAAAAACAAGTCCTATCCTTATAGTTTCACTTCCATCCTCTAGGATTTCTAAACTTTTATTTTCACCTGTTTCCACCTCTCTGAATCCGAACCCAGCTATCGACGAGTTTAAAAAACCTTTCTTCTTCCTCGAGCCCTCGAACAGTATAGTTCTGATAAAATCTGTGAAGTCTAACCGTCGTTATTTTTGAATCACTCAATGATACCCATAAATCATTATGGGCTATTTGTTCATAACTGTTGTAAAGAAATCTTTAATAAGCAAAGTATCAGTGCAGCAGTATTTTGTATGAAATTTATCCTAAGATACCCAGTTTGTTAAGATATCATGTACAAAGTAAGGA